CTTCACTCCGCGCACCTGCCAGGTGCGTGTGGGCGCGGCGCCTCCCGAGCGTCGGGCGCCCGCGCCGCCACTGACGTCCTCACCTGGTACCGGATGTCGAGCTCCCGCAGCCGGGTCAGCGAGCGCTGCAGGTCGTCTGGCATGTTTTCCACACAGTCCAGGTAGTCCTCCAGGTAGGTGGCCGAGTTCAGCGCCTCGCGGGATGCCTGGTTCAGCATGATGGTGATGCTGATGATGCTGGAGATGCTTGCTCTGTCTGGCCAGTGATGGGGTAGGTGAGATGAGATGACTCTACAGCTGCCTGACAGTCATTTGGATATACTGTTCTTTACATGTTCAGTGCAACCACAAAGAAACTGATATACAATGTTAGCCAGGCTGCAGAGAGCAGCTGCCCTAAATCTTTTCAAATAACTTGACTGAAGCTGCCATTCACAACCTGAGGAAAAGACAAGCATGTACTGCCCCAGCTGCGGCCAGGCATGTCCCTGGAGCCCCAACAAGATGCCAGGATTCCATTCATGTGGACCCTATGGGATCCTAGATGCACACATATGTGAAGAGCCTTTGCCATCACCAACTGAAATATGCTCCTGTTCTCTGTGGGAGTGTATTGTCAGCTAGGCTACATCATGTTGTCATATATTTCTGGTTGTTTGTTCGTTTTTCCTGTCATCATGCTCATATACTTCTGGTCTTCATATAGTCCTGACATATACTGATATGATTTGTTACACAATGCTCATAAACCATTTAATGAAATTATATTAAAAAATAATGAGATGAACAAATAGTCATTGGTCAATGGACAATGTTCAAAAATGGTCAACACAACAGCAATTCTATCAGTGACTTAGCTGATGCTGTTTGCAGCCTGTCCCAGTGCCAACCATCTGGTGATGCTCATACACAAGGATGGCCTGATAATTGAAGTAATCACAAAAAATGACCATGAATTTATACAAAATAACTTAAATCCTGTGAGTGAAAATGGCTAACTGCATCATACTTGCCTGCACCATTACCTGTTACCAATGCACATACTGATCACTTTCAAGTAGACAACAGTGCATAAAACCAAACTACCACACTGGACACTCACACCATGACAGTGTGATGAGTGGACTCGGACCAAGCCATAGTCTGCTGAATTGTCAAACAAGTTCTGCCTCAAAAACAATTCTGAGAAAACTCTTGCCTGAACAAACAGCAACATCACAATTAATTGAAGCATTGACCTTCCATGTGGTGAATGTGTCGTCTGACTGCGGATATTTGTTGGCTCCATCCGCAATACCAGACATGTTCCACATAACATGCATTTTTCAGCCTGGAACTGACATTAATCGAAGGCCTGGTTGTAAGTAACAATCTTGCACAATGCTCTACTAGACGCCATGCAGTCGATTTACATCATTGAACACTATTGTAGACGAGTCACAAAAATGAAAATCTCATAACCCGACCATAAGAACAAATTACAAACCTCTGGAAGACTTGACACGGGATATACACCCGGTTACGGAGACCAGGCCGCAGAACCACCCATCACCTTTCTCCGCGTCCAAGTAATTCTTACGGTTCTCAGTGATCTATGTGACAGTTTCGCACATCTTCACCGCCAGAGTTCGTTGAATAGAAAAAAAACTTGGTATAAAATTGCTATTTCATGGAGATCCTACACACCTTTCCGTACATTATTTTCAGGAAAAAATCAATTTTGAGTGAGTTGAATGTGACCTTAATTTTTGTGAGAACTTTGATGCGATACTCTACAAAAACAGCCTATTCTCGGTACCAGAAATTTGCTACCGTTGATGCATGTTACGATTCACGCCGCGGTTGTGACAATCAGGACAAACAAAATGCCGCGACTCTGAAATATTCATTGCGTTTTGGCTGGCGAAATTTGGGGAATTCATCTAGCATTTGATAATATGCCAGGCGCCGGGGTGCTTGCTTAACGCGAACCGCGCATTATGTTGATGACTGCGCGAGCCCGGATTCTTACTGGAGTATCTCATATGATCTGCTGATTAAGGTGACATGCGTGTATAGAGCAGTGGCTTATACCGTGGCAAGCTGTGAAAAGGTTCTACGTTTCGAAGGTGAATTACACTTGCGTGCAAACTAAACCTTTCAAGAGTGGTGCGAATGAGCGCGTTTTGTTTTATAGTTGGTTTGCAGTCAATAAATGTGATTTAGTTGCTTACTGACAGCATACGATGTTAGAACTGACTAAGCATGAATGGCACAAGATGGTCATGTTCATGTACTGGTGAGGCTGAGCTCTGGAACAGGTTCTCATCCAGTGCTATGAGTGAACAAGGCATGCTGAAAAATGCTCATGTAGAATTGCAAAAATAGTTTGACCTTGTTAAGTGTATACATTTCTGGCATTATTGGCATGTGAAAGCAGTGTTTGTGAGAGCCATGACCCACCATCTGATAATGATCTGGGTCAATGACAGAATTATGTGGTAAAACTAAGATGTGCCACAATGCCTGGCAGCTCTAGCCCCTGAGATTACCTGACCCTGAGCATGTCTGCTGATGCTGCACTGCTGCCAGCCATATGCCATCCCATTTGGGAAATAGCCAGTGCCTTCAGGAATTCAAAACCAACTAATGCTCCACCATGAATGGGTGATGTGAGTGGGCAGACACTACAACCAACTGTGTGTTAGGAGTGGATTAAGATGGCCATCCTGCTATAAATATGCCCATGACTGATTCTGTCAACTATGGGTGGAACTAATTTGCTTGGATTTGTATCCAAATGATTTGATTCTGCCATGACTTGGCATAACTCTGGTTGATTTCAGAGTCATATCAGCCTCCTGATAGAGACATGTCTGATGGCTAGTTTGGCCAATGTCAAGCCTTCTTGCGGATATTGTTATGTCCAGCAGGGTTCATTGTGATGGTCTTGACCATGACAAGATGTGAACACAGTGATACAGTCTGTCTGCACATAGTCTCCAGATGAATTTAACAGCATTTGATACTCATAGAAATGCCTTCATGTGCATGTTAAGCTGGCAAGGATAGTTTCTTACCATGCTATGCTATAAGACCTTCTTTGAAGTTGGACCCAGAAAGTTTTGTGCCTGACAGTCATGCAATAATGATTGGGATTTGTTGGAAGATGACAATGTACCCATATGCTTCTGGTGTAGCTCATTGTTTTAAAAAAAAATTGTTACATTCGATGCTTCTCTAGTCACCCAGTTTTCTTTTAAGGCTTTGCCTGAGACCTTTTTCTTTGATGCGGCTGTGATATTAAGAGTATTAATAATACATGATATGAATATATGATATTAAGAATATCACATTGCACACTATGGATGCTGCCATGGTGCCGCTACTGAAATGCTGTACATAAGGTGCTCATATTTGTGAAAGGTGTCAAATTAAGCATGCCAATTATATTGAGGCTTTCTATTGGACACATAGAATGCCAGATTGTGAGGAAAAATTGTTGTGTATGCCCAACATATTTGAAAACAGTTCTGACAACTAGTTGGCCTCCTGCACTATTTTTCAAGTATGCATGCATGCAAGATCCACTTGAGTGCACCATCCTTGCTTTGTGATACATAGGGGAATAACACTGCTTGTGTGCAACATGCACCAGTTAAAAACATAGTAGACAATGATTTTGGGTTTCCAGGAGGGGCTAAACAGCAGCAAAACCTGCTGACAAGCCCATGCTCCGAGCCTATGGGAACCGATCAACACCAAATTTGGTGCCATTCACCATTCGATGCCAATTGGTCAATAACCATTTTGTTCAGGCATGGTGGCTTGGGGTCGGGCAAAAGGTCTCCAAAAACGCCCCAAACCACCATGAATCAGTTTGCAGATAACCCTGTGCTCGGAGCCAGTGGGACAGATCGAAACCAAAACTTCAATCGATGCGCCATGGTCGATATCGTCTTCTTTTCAAGACCAAGTCACCATGTCCTGGAAAGGACAGGATATCGACCATGGTGCATCAATTGGTGAAGATTTTGGGGGAGGATCTGTCCCACAGACTCGGAGCATGGGGTTGTCTGCTAGCCATTTTTCCAGCTTTTGGCATTTTTGTCGACCTTTAACCTGATCCATGGTTGCCATCTTCTGGAAACAAGAGGTTATCAAGAGGTCGTCAAGAGGTTATCGGTGGAACTGCATCCAGTGGCGAAGGTTTGGTGTCGATCGGTATCACAGGCGCAGAGCACGGAGTTGTCAACAGGCTTTGTCGGCTGTTTTGTCCCCCCGGGTGTCCTGCAATGCATATCATACCTGCATGTTTTCAAGATCCCCCAGATGCGCCTGCTTTGCTGTGAATACATGTTATGGTCTGGTCGGTTCTGGTTTGGGTCCGGTCTGGTGCTTATTGAGGTGTGCTCCGCCTCCATGCACGTAGCTTACGTGTGTGTGTGGCACCTCCCACAGAGAGGAGTCCTCATTTGTCCGTCGCTGCTCCGCTTACCCTGAGCATCTGCATCCGCAGAGCATCCGCAGTGCTGTCGCCCCTGGTGAGTAACGCTTGCTGCCATCCGTTGGTAACTCGCAAGGTCTGCTGTGTGTGATTAAGCGCTGGGGGGCTCCTGTGCGCTACGTGTTCATGTGCGTCTGCGCTTCCACGGCTTCACTGACATCATGTCTGGGATGCCACGGGAGGCGGACAGCTGGAGCTGCCCGGCAACGAAAACGGACACAGCTCTCGATTCTTGACGTCAGATAAGCCAGCCGTCACAGAGCGACACGGCGGTGGCGGCGGCTGTGTGGAAGCTGCTGGTCGCCATTTTGGGTATGCGTTTGTCGTGACGTGCGCCCGGTTGGTGCGGTACGAAGCAGCATTTTCCGACTGATGTTATCCGGCGCGCAGCGAGAAGTGATTAGATGAATGGATGCGCGATTTTCAAAGCGCGACACGCGCACCGATCGTTCGCTCGGAAAGTGTGCAGGAGGCGGGCGAGGCTATCACCGCCACGCCAGGCACTCTGAGCTCGACGATGGGCCAGGCTGGTTACATGGCCATCACGTTGCTGTGCTTGGCTTGCCGGCTCCTTTTTGGTTGCACGTTATGATTGTAGGTATCGGCCGGTCTTCTACGCGATGAGATTCTCGTGATGTTTTTTTGTGGGGGGCAGACCATTAAAGTTTTTGTGTGGGGCGACTTAAACGCATTCAGGGTCATAGTGTAACATGCGAGAAGCCTAGATTTGGAAATCATCATGAAACTAAAACAGTATTTAGCGCATTTTAGATGCATGCATGCAACCATCTGAAATACATTATCTGAAATCACTGAGACGGTTTTTAGATGTTGATAATGTTAAATGTATGTCATGTCAAGGGAAAGTGAATTCCTGGGCCAAATGAGTGACCAGTAATAGGCTTCTGGATTAATCATGTCGTGCCGGATGCAAATTCCGCTGCAACTATTTTCTCCACACTGTGTTCGCGACGACGTGTTCGCCACAGCCGACACTAATTTGCATTTTTATTACCGTGTTTTGCATTCCTTGGGCGCAAACCCATCAGTCGCCATCTGTTGACAAGAGCCGGCACGCGGCCTCGGACTGGAGCGCCGCTAGCCTTGGATCAGTCCGGACGTCCCTCCGCCGGTGGGACGGGAGGTAACCCTCCGTCGGGTCGGCTCGGATCTCGTGATGTCACTCACGCCGTCAGCTGATTGGCCTAAAGGTGACGCTACTCAGTCAGCTGACGCCCCGCGCGCGCGAAATGCAAGCAGGACAAATGGCCTCGATGACATCACGCCGCTCAACACCGAACCGCAACTGAAACGCGGCCGGAGGCGGAGCACTGCCGTCCCCGTGGCGTGGGGGGGGGGGGGGAGATGCTGGTCTCGTTACCCAGCGCTTCTGAGTACGAACCCAAGAGCGGGCAAGAGCAATCTTTTGGCCCGACTGACGTGGAGCTGCCAGCTGGCAGCTGACCAACAAGATTCATTGTGCCGCGTGTAAAACTGTTCGTGTTCCCGTCTGGCGAAAAGCCGGCGACAAAATAATGCGTTGAACTAGGCGTCACGACTGAGGTGGATGGTTTAGGTCACACGCTTGGGACCTCGCGTGGCAGTGGCTCTGAGTCCCAAGCCACCCATGCAAACCGCGCAGAGGGAGTTCTTAAGCAGGGTTTGTGCCAAGGCCGGACGCTCGCTTTACCAGCACCGGCAGCTGACGGGCCTGCTGGGGCGCGGACGAGGCTCTAGCGGTGGGGCGCTAGCAGGCGTTTGATAATTTTTGGTGCAGGGTCACGCGGGTTGTTGTCAGGCGGTGCTCAGAAACGGGGCTCAACTTTGGCGCCCGCGTGATTGAGCAAGTGACTGCGTTTCTTGCGCACTTTGAGTTGGCCGTGATCCGCTACACGCAGTTCCGGGGCTGGCCCGAACGACTCGCATTAAGGCACAACCAGGCCGGGCAGAATGCCGAACCGCTGCCGGCCGCCCCTCGGAGGTGCTCGACACGCGCGCACGTCCGCACAGTTCCGGTGCCGCCCGCTGTCGGCCCCAGCCGCGCCTGCATGAAGGCCCTGGACGCAGCGCACCGATACACCGACGGGCGCTGCTGGCTGACGCGTGGCGGCTCGGCCCTTTCATGTCGA